TGTCCCCTGTAGGGTTATGGGTCAGTGAGGGGCATCATGTCTCATAGTGGGGCCGGCCATGTGATCCTCTCGATGGACTGGCTGCTCTAATTGGGAACATCGTCCTCAAGGCCTGGTGGGGCAGAATGTGCTCCACTCTCTCCTCCTCCCCCTTCATCTGCTCCTGTGTGCTCCGATCAGATATGTCCCTCTCCTGGAGCTGCAGATTCAATGCCTCCTTTGAAGTAAATTCTTCTGGGGGGGAGGGGAAGGTATCCACTTAGTATTTGGGATTGGGGCTAGCCCCCCAGACCTCTCCACTGGTTCCCTACTCCACGCTGGCATGTTGCATTCACATCTTGGAGCACTGGGTTGAAGTCTGGTCCTTCTTTCCCTGTGGAGATATAAGCAACACCCTCCCCTTGGGTGGGTTAGTGCCCTGTGCCTCCGTTACCCATTTCTTTATTATTATTATTTTCCTTTCCCCACCTCCATTTTAGTTGTCTACCGTGTGTATCCCTGTATTTGAGGGCCAGGTAGTATGGCAGGGACCAGATCAACCTTCTCTTAGTGAAATTTCTTTTTAAAGGTCACCTGCTCATGTTCTGGTACAGTAGCCCTGGGAAGCAAAGGCAACTACTGGATTTCGTTCCCTCAAAAAAATCTCCACCAATCATGTACCTAGTCCCCCACCAAAGGAGCCTTTGTCCTGATAAACCTCGGAGCTGGGCTTTGGGTTCAGAGCGCCAAGAACCAATTAAAATGAGATTAGACACCAGAGAGATACATTGCCGCTTTTTTCCATTAAGGCCCATGCTGTTTGCATTTCATTCAGGCTGTGTGGGATGTGTTCATTCTACATGTATATAATATACGTCCAATTTGGTTTAATTCCATTACACACCATTTACTGTTTAGGTTGGAGGAATTGTCATCTGATCCAACTCTTACAATCTATTTTATGAGCAAGAAACATGATAGTTGCAGATCTCAATTTGAACTCCTTCATTTAACCCCTACCAATACCAGAAAAGATATTGGAGAAAGAGCTGACTTTGGAGAAAGAGCTGACTTTAGGCACTGGGGGAAATGGAAGTGTTATGGGTGGGTGTCTGGGTGGGTGCCCACCCAGGTGTGTGGGTGGGTGCCCACCCAACCCTGGCAATGCCCTTTGCCCCCTCTTCATAGAGGTGCTTCTTAGCAGTCAGTGCAGGCTTTTCCTCCCAACAGCAGTTTTGAGCCCCAGTGGTAGAGCCGGATACACAAGGTCAGCAGTTCAAACCCACCAGCCTCTGTGGGAGAAAATTTGAAGCTTTCTGCTCCATGAAAAATGTCCAACCTCAGAAACCCACAGGACCAGTACTACTGTGGGGTCCTTATGAGTTGAATTGGCTTAATGCTGAGTAACCTGGTCTACCTTCTGAAACAGCAATGGGAGAGAGATTCCCTGCCCAGAGTACTGAACCTGGGCACCCACTGCAAATCCACAAACCCAGATAAGCACTTTCTGTCTCCCTCTACCACCCAGCCCTGCCACTTCTGACTTACTGGGTAGGCGATAGGAACTATTTAGGGGGACCGGATGAATGCCTTGGTCCTTGTGGGGGAGTGCTTGTAAAAGGAATATGCTTGGGTGCTAGCCCAGAGGTTGGACGTTTGACTCCACTCAGAGGTTTCTGGAAAGACAGACCCGGGGATCAATTTCCCAAACACCAGTCACGGAAAACTCTGGAGCACAGGACTACTCAGCTCCCGATGGGGATCCCCTGAGTGGGAACCCGCTGGATGGCCGCGGTTTGTGTTCAGGATCTGACTTCTGACTCCTTCCTTCAAACACACACGTCCGAGACAGGTTGGAAAATGGAGACGGTGAAACGCTTGCTCCCCGTTCTTCATGGATGAAAGAGCCCACGCACATCTGAAGGTGATTAATTGTCTTTATTGGAGGAAAACAAGAAGGCATCCATCTCATTATCATTATGATAGAAATCTTGATATGTGTACATGATTGTCAAGGCAGAGAATCATTTGCTATATAGGCCCATTAACAATTTTGCAGTGTCGCAAACCTATGGGGGTTAAGTTGCTTGCACGAGTTTATTACATGCATGGAATAAATGCACAGTTTCCCTTCTTTGGGCCAAGCATGTTTTTATGGGAACAACTGGACCAGTCGCAAGCCTGGTAATAACAGACACAGGGGCATTCCTGGGTTCGACGCTGTAAGCTTTTGTAAAACATGCTCACTGTTTGGGGGGCATGGGGGCAGAAAGGGGGCCAGGACTTTGTGTGCAGTGATGGAAGCCAATTTAGAAATGGGTCCTTGGGACTCTGGACAGAGTGTACCTGTTACATCGCCCAACCAGACCATGGGGCAGACCGATGTTCTGTGAAACACACCACATCTTGGGCCACTTCTCAAAAGCCCCGGTGCCTGTGGGTAGGCGGGTATGGACTTCAGTGCTGCGCCCACACGGAGAACCTTTGAACTGACTCCTGGCCCTTCTTTAGCGCCCTCTCTTTCTGGCCACAAGCTCTGCTCCCCAAGTGCAGGGCTCCCCAGAGGCCAGGCAGCTCAGTCTGTCCCGGCTTTTTCCTTTACGAAGCACGTACTGTTTGAGGGTGCTGAGCCCTGGGGTGCCTGAACGCTACAACTAGAGCCTCCCACAGACTGCTCCCTTTTCTTTTTTTCTGTCCATAAGAAAATAAAATCACCTGTCTGTAAAATCATATGGGAAAAAGTCAGAAGACACCAGAACCCGATGAGAAGTCCCCCGGAGACAAAAAAAAGGTTGAAAACGTATATGGCAAACGCAGAAGCGGCATTAGGACAAAGGGTGAATGGGCAGTTTGTCCCTTGGGTATACAGGAAGACACAGAAACCGAAGCCATTCCGCAGTTTGCTTTTGTCCACAAAACAAAACCAGGCTGGGCAGCCACATGCTGAGGGCTGGGCAGCCACATGGGCAGCCTCTGGGTTGGCTGAAGTGGAGACCCCCAGAGTCACAAGTGGGGCTGCTTTTGGACGCAGGTGGCAGGGGGTCTGGGAACGGCAGGCTCCTTGCCCCATGCTCAGGGGCGCAGCGGCTGCTGATGCTGTGCGCAGGGAGAGGCTGGCCTTCACCCACTGGCCAAGCCCCCTGCATCGCAGGGCTGGGCTCCTGCGCATGCCCTGACGCGCTGGGGCAGGCACAAGCTGCAGATAATGACGGGCAGGATAAAGGGAGGGCATCTGGTGAACCAGTGTGGGCCTGGACCGTTTTCTCTCCTCTCCCTCAGAACTGCCTGCTGCCCACAGTCCTAGCTCACAGTTTCTAGCTCACTCATCCACCTACTAATTTCCATGGAACCTTCAAGAAACTAATTCCTTTTTGTAAAAAAAAAAATAGGAATCTATTTTTCCAATTCAGTGTTTCTATCTCAACCGTTTCCATTCTGAATATTGAGAGCTTTAGAGAACATTTTCTCCCACCCCTCTCAAATGGTTGGTATACTTCCAGCCCCAATCCAGGACCAGGTGCCCCCTGAAAGAGTGGTGAATTACATACAGATATATACATTTTTTTAAATTTCGGAAACCAACTGAACAGTGTGTGGTCTGGAATGTGTTTCGGGAAAAGGCAGGCTTTTCCGAATGTCCGTAGGCAGCGGTGGAAGTAATACTGGTCAGTAACATGCAAAGGTGGCATGCATGAGTGGGATCAGAGGACCTTCATTTCCGTCGCCAGAAGTGAGTTTGCAAACCTGGGAAAGAGTCCGTCTGATTCCTGTTTGTGGGGAATGGAGGAGCGGCCCTCGGCCCGCCCTGGCATTGTGCTCACAGATTCCAAAGGAATTCTTGTGAAGCTCGGGTGAGAGTCACGCCAAGGAGGGCACGCTGCTGGGGAAACCGAGAGGCCTTCTGCCCTGGAGCAGTGTTCGAGGAGTCAATAACGGCCAAGGCTCAGGGTGGAAAAGGGTCGAAGATGCCCAAAGCCATTAGACACTGACCGTACCTCCACGGAGGGATGGACTTTGTGTTTACAACTGCTCATGAGCATCCAATCCCAGTGGGCTCATCAGACTAGCCTGTCATTCACCAGAGAGGAGGTCAACCTCCTTTCCAAAAGAGGGAATCTGGGCCTTTGTTCTAAAGGAGACTCACCCTCCAACACCCACAGTCCATCCTTGGCTGGACACCAAGGTAGACAAATAGGCAGGACGGATGAATGCTGTGTAGGTCAACTGAGTCTGCGCTCAATGCCGCAAAACCCTTGGATTGAACGGCCACCGATTTGATTTCTACACAGTGCATCTTCTTTGGCTCTAAGACCAGTACTGAGTCCCCTGCACCAAAAGCTGGAAGCACTCCTAGGGATGCTTTCAAAGCGTCTCTGACGCCAGGTTACGGCCGGGCCCTGTCCTGTGCTGAGGCTTCAGAACTGACCAGAATGGCTGCCAAGGTCAAGAACATTCGATCATGCCTGTTTTGGGGGGTGGGGGGGAGGAGGGAATTTCTGTGTCATTTTCTTTTAAAAAAGGAGATTATCCTTTCTGTTCTGTAGCGCCAGGGGATGTAGGAAGTTGAGAGTGCCACCCATCAGCCACTGCAAAGGCCACATGCACTCCTGGGGCTCTCCACCATCTATCCAGCTGTGAAGCCGCCTCTTTTCCCAAGGGATGTCCAGGGTCAGGTGAAGGTGCTGGGCTGCGACTGACAAGTGGGAGCTTTGAGTTCGCCCAGAGGCCCCTGCGATGAAGGCCTGGGGATTTACTTCCAAAATATTTTGGCCACTGCAAACTCTAGGGAACACTGTTTCCAAATTTAATACTCAAGGGAGGGGGAAAAAAAGTTCCTTGCTTTGAAAAGGTGAAGAGACCTGATGTGGGGCCTAGGGTTAGGAAAGATGCCCGTGGTAGGTCTACCTCGAGCTTAGCCAACTCATTGGCTTCAAAGGCCAGTCTAGCCTGATGGCACCTAGTTAAACGGTCTGCTAGCATCTGTTGAACTTGACATCAGTTAGGGTCCTAGATCTATGCCATCCCATTTGTCAGGTCTCAATGAAAGAGCATGCTGGGTTCTCCTTCTGTTTTGTCATAAGACATAGAGTCTCCTATCAGTCTGAAACCAGTCTCCGTTTCCTGGGGCTGTACTACAGAGGCTGATGTGTGATGGTGCACCGGAGCATGGCCAAGGACGGACCTCTCACTGCTAAGAGGTCTCACTGCTAAGGAGCACGTTGCCCCTGCTCTGTGCCTTTGCAGGAAAGGCATCCTTTCAAATGAATGCACATATCATGCACCCTGTATATTAGCTCCAGAAAATATTTTTCTCACCAGTAATAGAATTTGGCTTCATATGGTGCTTTCTAAATGCAAATGATGGTGTATAGCACACAACAGTGATGCCTTATCAGGTGCACATTCAGAAAAACCATCACTCCTTGCAAGACTCTATTTATGCCCCCCCCCACCAAATGATACTTTATAGGCATGAATGTTTTCCCATTACACTTGTTCATCATGGGCAGTTTAATGCACCTCCTGGAGAGATTCTGTTTTCTTGATTATTTCCCAAATATTCTTTATAATATTCATGCCGTTGTCTTTCTGGACATGAGGGGTTGTTGCCTATCCAACTTTGGTGATGCCTGGTGATTAACTGGGCCTCTTGTCATTTCATCATTGGCTCCAGGCTTTTTATACATCTCCCAGGGTCGTAGCTTGCCTTTTTTCCCTCTGTGTGGGTGTGTGGTAAACGGCAGGCATGACTCTTGCCAAGCCATGGTGTGCCTCTAACGCAGGCATGGACCAGCTGCATGGTCTACACTGCACTCGCACACACTAGTACTGTCACCATTATCTGCATTATAGCTGCTGAACCTCAGAGCACTGCGCTGCGTAGGGGGGTGGGCAGAACACTGCGAAAACCTTCCGGGCATCCGCAAAGGGGCTGACAGTGATGCAGATGGTTTGGCCACCTGAAGGAGAGGGGCACAGCCAGGGAACGCAGCCCCGAGACCAAAGAGCAGCATCTGGCAGGGCTCCTGAGACCCTCCGCAGGCTCCTGGCGAATGGGGTGGATGGGCGTGCGGGTCCAGAGGAAGGTGGGAGGGCTTGGGAGTGGAGGGAGGGCTTTTTCCAAGGTGGCACCTGGAGCCACTTCTTTGGTTTGACAAGAGCCAATTGTGGAAGCCTCCTAGACAATGGGGGTTGCCCTGGGTGTCACAAACCTGCCCGCTCTAGCATGACCTGGTCTGATTTTGGGGGGACCCTTCTGATTTTAGCAGTCAAAGTCTGTTGTCATGGCAAATCCTTCAGTCCGGAGCAAACCATGCTGGTTCGAGATCCTTCCACCCCAGGTCTTTGGTTTAAGGTTTCCCTGCTCCTGGGCTAGTTTCTGGCCCCACGGGTCCTGTCTCGGGGCTCCCTGTCATCTCTGACGGCCTACATCCTGCTTGCTTGCAAGAAGGCCGGCCCTCAAACCAATGGATTCTCTTACAAAGCCATCTCCCCACCCCTCAGCATCCCTATTAAGAATGGAACCAATGTTGGGAGGGGGAAAAACAAAACAAAACAGAATCAAAACCTCGTGTGAGCTGGAGGCAATTTTGTTAGGTTAGAAATGCGTTTTCACAAAGAGCGAAAGAGAGGTTAGTTTGAAGACTGCATAGCCTGAGAGCCGAGCTCCCGTCCGTGGGGCTCCGTCAGGAGAAATGGGTGCTGACAGGAAGATCCCCAGAAACACAATGGCGGCCCTCCCTTTGGCCCAGGAGGCTCTGGAAGCTTTGCTTTGCGGGCGCGGGGTGGGGGGGAAGAGCAGGTTTACTTCTGACCACTGATGACTTGCGGCCACTCGGGTCTCTTGGTGGCCGGGGCTGTCTTGTGGAGGTGCTGTTAGGAAGAGTTTGGGGAGGTACCTCCCCCTGCAAAGACTTCCTGCTAGAAGAGAGTCCCACAGTTTTCCTAGAGTGGGGTCTCCCAAGAAAGGGGAGGAGAAGAGAATGAGGGTCACATAACGTGCACCCTTAGTCGTGGAGACAGATTGAGCATCTGAAATACTTTTCAGTCCCCCCCTTAGAGGGGAAAGAACCTTTGAAGGGGTCAACAAAAATCTCTACTTATTGAAGAACAAAAGAGAGATGTAACTAGAAAGGACACACTTCTGAAGAAAAAAGAAAAAGCCTAATGCACAATATTTACTAATATTTAAATAATCCAGTTGAAACCTTTTTGTTGTTGTTATTGTTATGAAGGAAAAAAAAATGCAACACAGATAGATGGTGCCCTATACTGCAAAGGGTGGGAAATGACAGGGCGCTGGGGCAAGGAATAGAAAGAAGAAGGTCGGTTCAGTTACAGCTTCGCAAGGTTCGTATGTACAGCACCAGATCCTATTAAATCAGCTCCCCGTGAGTCAGGACAGTTTGTGAGAAATGAACACTTCAGAATTGCAGTATAAAATATGGCCATAAAAAATCTTCTGTCTTCCAGTCCTGTGCAGGAAGGTGCACCATGCAAGGTGAGATCTCTCTGGAGGGGCTCTTGGCACCGGCAGCCCTGGGGGCACCCTTTCCCCTGCCCCTCCTGAGGCTTCATCCCCAGGTCCCACCCCTTGGGGACCTGCCTCCTGGACCCCACCTCCAGAGCCAGTCACTTGCTGCCAGAATGCACTGTGGTCACAGTGGTGGGCCTCGGTCTCCTCTCAGCTCCAACTCCTGAGACCCCGGATGAGGAGGAAATGAAACTACAGAGGGTGGAAGAAGTCAGGCCTGGAAGAGAACAAAGGTGGGGGGTGGGGAGAGGGAGGGGTGTCAAAGCATCAGAAAGGCTGTTATGCACCCAGAGTAAACCCAATTCCCTTCCCACTGCAAGGGTGGCAGATGGGCTGGGTTTGGGAGGGGCCCAAATGTCACCTGCTTGACTCAATGTTTACCTACTCTGCTGGGTTAAGCTGTATCCCCCCAAAAGTTAGGCTCAAATCCTAACCCAAGTATGTACCTGTAGATATGATCCAGTGTGGATTAGGGGTTTTGTAATATGTTATGTTGATGAGGACATTTGGAAGGAGGGCGGCAACAGACGGTGACGGAGGAGGAGGTACCTAGAAGCAAGCAAGGAAGGCCAAGCAATTCTCAGGGTGTGGGTGTGGAAAGAGAAGAGAGTGTCGGAGAGCGAGGAGAGAGGGAGGCTCTTCTGATGCCCTGAATTGGGACTGCTGGCCGAAAGAGCTGTGAGAAAGTGAATTTCTCCTCTGTAAATCCACCTCTGTGGGAGGCTGTCCGTGAAGGAACAATGTGAACTATGTGTCACGGTGCTCTGTTCTTAAGCCTAACCGTCATTGCCTTGGTCTGTTATAACTGTTTTGTAGGAGAAAACCACATGGTACAAGTCACGATAATGCAGTAAGTCCCATTTGTTGAGGAACTGGTCATATATTAGACGCTGAGTCTCTAACTGAAAGGTTGGAGATTCACCTCCACCCAGAGGTCGCTCAAGGAGCTCTGGTAGCACAGTGGTTAGTGTTGGGTTACTAATTGCAAGGACAGCAGTTTGAAACCACCAGCTGCACCATGGGAGAAAGAGGAGTTAAGAGCCCCCAGTCAGCCAGGGTGCAGTAAAGCACTGACAAAACACTTTCCTCTAGTTCTTTAATGATACATCCCTTCCCCCACTATCACGACCCCAAATCCAGTTAGACCAGAGCATGGACACTGGTACAGATAAGAGCTCTCAACACATGAAATCAGGACAGAGATTACCCTCAGGAACAGTAATGGGAGTAGCGATACCATGAGAGTAGGGGGAAGATGGGGGTGCAAGGGGGGTAAAGGGAGAACTGATCACAATGATCAATGATCGACATATAATGCCCCCCCACTCCGAGGGGGACAAACAATAGAAAGAGGGGTGAAGAGAGACAGCAGATGGTTTAAGATATGAAAAACAACGATTTATAATTTATCAAGGGTTCACAAATGTGGGTGGATTGGGGAGGGGGGGAAACATGAGGAGCTGATACCAACAGCTTAAGTAGAAAGAAACATGTTTTGCAAAGGATGATGGCAGCATATGTACAAATGGGCTTGATGCAATGGATGTATGGATTGTTATAAGAGCTGTACGAGCTCCCCCAAAATGATCTATCCTTTTTTTTAAGTCAAGAGTCTCAAGCGCTCACAGGGGCAGTTCTACCCTGGCCTGTGGGGTGGCTATGGGGTGGCTATGGGGTGGCTATGGGGTGGCTATGGGCTTGAATCGGCTTGATGGCAGCGAGTCTGGCTTTCTTGGGAGGGAGGCACTGAACCGAGGGGGAACGCACACTGCAGCATAAACTCAAACCAACTGCCATCACGTGAGTTCCAATCTCGCTACACTATATAAGGTTTCCGAGGCATTGTAAATCATTCTGGGAGGAGATAGACTCATCTTTCTCCTATGGTGCGGTTGGGGAGTTTGAACCACCACCCTTGGGGTCAGCAGTCCAAGATTACTCAACAGCACCACTAGGGCTCCTTGTAGATCCAGCAAGAAGGGGACATATGGACTTAGGGGGAGAACACCACATGACGATGGAGGCAGACCCTGGAGTCTACCTGACACGGAGCCCAGGATGGCTGGTAACATCAGATGCGGGAACAGTGGACAGGGAGGATTCTGCCCTAAAGTGGTCAAAGGAGCGTGTCCCTGCACACACTTCCCCCTGGGCTGACGTGCAACTAGACCTGGGAGAGATTAAGTTTCTGTTGCTTTAAAATATCTGGTCGACAATGCTTCTCGGGAGCAGCCCTGGGAATCTATATACAGTTGGGAAAAGCTGAAGCCCCGCCCAGTGGGAGGGAAGGAGGGCTGCTGGGAGAAAATGCAGGCAGCAGATCTAAAGTGGGGAGGAGTCCCTTGGAATGGCCAAATTTGGCACTAAGATACATCTAGCGAGAGAGGAACATGGTGGGGTGGGGGTGGGGGTGAGGAAGCATGTATGTGTCCCTGGGAGTGTCATATTCAATGCAAAGCTGAAGGATACTGAATGAATAGGCCAGTTCCTTTACTGCAAAACCAATGCCTTTTAAATAAATTAGCTCCAATGATCACCTCCTTTTTCAAATATATAGATTAGAAGTCGCTGTGGCCAGGCTGTCCTGAGTCCTGCCTTCAGTCCCTAAGAGGGATTAACCAGTGAGAAGTCACTGGCCGGGGGCGTGGAGGTCAGGGAGACCTGGGGCTAGCAGAAAGCACTTGGGCCTTCTCCAGACCTGGCTGTGCACAGACTTCTCATCTACCAATGCTAGGACCTACACCCACATCCAAGGTTGTTGTGAAGGTTGGATGGAATGACGATCGAATGGCTCACTCAGCAAATGATCGTTTCCCTCCATCCCCAGCCCACAATGTTCTCCGATGCCGGAGGAAGTGATGTTTTTGCTACATACGCACAGTCTTTTTGGCTGGCCAAACTGAGGCTGCCGGAAACGCTTGCATTCGAGCTGTCGAGGCTGCTGCCAAGGTGGAGTTTTCTCATATGTCTCACCACGGCGGTGGCGTTGAAGGCTTGCTGAAATGTTAAGAAAGTAGACAAAATATATGAGCTCATCAGAAAAGTCTCAGACCCTGTCCTATTACTTTTCCCATGAACACTGAGCATCTTCAACTCCCTAAACACCCTGGTGGTGTTCTACAAAGGAGGCTCAGGTTGGCTTTTCTTCCCTAAGTATCCTAGCTTTATTAGATACCTCCCGCTCATCAAAATACATTTTGAAAATCAAAACACTCTATTTTTACACCATCACACATCCCAACGCAGTGACCCTAAAGGACAGAATGGAACTGCCCCGTGGGTTTCTAAGACGATAACTCTTTACGGCGTTGCAAAACCTCATCTTTCTGCCACCCTTGTGGTCGGCAGCCTAACACATAACCAGGGCTCCTAGGTATATTATACCAATGTGCTATTTTAAAGTTACTTTTATTTTCTATGATTGGTACGTCCATTCAAAATTAGAAACATTCTTCTGAAAACACTGTGGGTGTTAGTGTGCGCTGTTGAGTAGTTTCCAACTCGCAGTGGCCTGCGGGACAGAGTAAAACTCTTTCCCTATCACACGCAACGTCTTCAACTTCTCAAACAGGAAGGGAAGCTGGAGGCGGCCCTTTTGGGTGGCAGCCCTGCACGTGACCATTGTCCAGCAGGACTCCTTCCTGAATTAACAGGGTCCGTGGAACGTATTTTGTGTCTGTACAGACTTTAGGGTTTTGTGGCAAAACAGGCAGCTCTTGACTCTCATAGTGCTTAGGAGACAGAAAGAAGTTCATGAAACCACAGTGGTTCCCATCGATCACATTTGTACCTGAAGACACAAAGGAGCTCAAATCAGAGGTCCTCTTCTCTCCTCTCAAAACAAAAAGAACAAAAACCAATAGTCCAACCCATGCCGCCCCAGGTGTGCACCAGAGCAGAACTCTTCTCCACAGGGGTGTCGCGGCTGATTTTTCAGTAGACTGCCAGGCCTTTCTTCCTGAGTGCATCTGGGTGGATTTGAACCTCCAAGTTTTGGATTATCAGCCAAGGGTACTATACATTTGTACTAACTCCCCCATCTGCCCCCCACCACCAAATCCTATTCAATATGCCTGCAAAGTGGGGGAATGCATGAATGATTAGGGTGTTTATTACAGAGCACAGGGACAGGCTAGCTCGATTGCCGTCTGTGAATCACAGCCCGGAAACATTACGTCACATACTTCATCCCTCTCACACCACGATATGCTAGCTCCCTCTGTATCCGCGAAGATGAACGCGGTTGTTTCTGTGACTTCTGGGCAATTTATTCCAAACTCAGGGGAGGAAAAAACCCATTGCTGTCCGGCTGATGCGGATGCGTAGTAATTGTGACCCTGTAGGACAGAGTGAACCGCCCCATAGGGTTTCCAGGGTAGTGACTCTGTAGGGAAGCAGAGGGCCACATTGTTCTCCCTCGGCGCGACTCTTGGGTTTGAACTGCCGACCTTGCCAGGTGCCTAACCCCTGCCCCACCAAGGTTCTCCTCAGAGGCAACGCTAAGACAGGCTCAGCTCGCAGGAGTGTAGTTACATTCGGGGAGGATGTAACAAGCCCAGGACTTACTCTCCATTTGCTTTTGGCGAAGTTCTTCCGGATCTGGGCGCTGACAGACTCGTGGATGTTTTTGTTGAGGGCCGTGTCACCCGCGATCCTGAAACAGAAGCAAAGGTGCTTGTTCGTAAGTGTTAGTCCAGGGTACTGGGGTGGGGCAGGGTCTCAACCTGCTTTCTTATCGCCTCCCTGGGGCTCACGACACGGCCACTGTCCACTTCCAAGCTGGCCGTGGCTCTCTCTCAAAGCCTACTGCCTCCTGATGCCGCTACCATGACTCAGTCCACCAAAGTCCTGTCGCACCTGCCACCCCTCCTGAGCAGGACCCACCAGCACTTTCTGGTTGGCCTTTGTGGCTCAAATGTGTTTTCCACTCTAGTTTTGGCAACATCAGAATCCACGATGACAAAACAACCATGACTTAGTTTTCCATCCATCTTCCTCCTTTTTAGCCCCCTCTCTCTGCATCAGCTTTGTACCAGAAACACTTGGCCTCTGTGGTCTCAGGCTTGAGCCCTGGCTGCCCAGAATGCTAGCCCTGTGCTCAGAACTCCGCTTCCCAGCTCGGTGGTCCCAGAAGCCCTCAGCTGAACCTGTGCCCGATGGATGCCCCCAACAGTCCCGGGCTAACAGGGCCCTTGGGCTCCAGTCCAGCTGCAAAGAGCTCTAGGGCTTTCTACCCGTCCACATCCCAACCCTGTGGCCCCTCATGACTCTTGTGCTTGGAGAGGGGATTTCCAGCGTCACCACAGTCCTACGTCACTCGCTCACTGCCGAGGGATGGAGTCTGACTCCATAAATGCCCCTGTGGGTTTTGAGACTTCAAATCCCTACGGGAGTAGAGAATCGCATCTTTCTCTTGCTGGGCGGCTGGACGGTTCAAATGCTGACTTAGAGGTTAGCATGCTATGTCCAGGGCTCCTCCTGCTAAACGAATGCTTATTTCTTTGGCCTCTTCTGAGTGTCAGGGAAGACGTTAGGTTTGCTCTTGACTTCCTTTCCTCAGTTTCCCCTCATTCTGCTATTTCCTCCCTCTGATCGACCATCCCCATCCAGCCCTCTCTCTATGAAGTCTGAGACCTGCCTGTCTCCCCATCATTCACCATCTCCGGTCTGGGTGACTGCTTGGGGAGAAGAACAGCAAGTTCTCTCCCATCAACGCGTCTCAACCTACACACCCTCCCTCCACCCTCTAGGCTCAACCACTTGGCCCTCCCCACAGTTTCAGCCTCTCCTGCTTTTTGCCCCCTGTGAAATTCTAGGTGGGTGTGGGTGCCTAAAGAAGTTTCCTGGGTCTGGGAAAAGTTCAGGGGCAGATGCCCGAGACTGGTGACTGGTACAGGCTTTCACTCCCAGCCCCAGGCCGCCCTGGCACCACACAGTCCGCAGGCCCTAGTCTATTACTCCCGCCTGCCCTGGGCTGTGAATGGATATGCTACGGGCTTCGTCAGACAGGAAGTTATCCCCCCATGAAAAACCTTTTCCTGCCTACCTAGCCTTCCACTTTAGAACTGCAGATGCGGCTGATGGAGCAGGCTCTGGTCTGTGACTCACTGGACCTCAGTTTAGAATGAGTCGGAAAGTTCCAGCAACCCCTGCCCTTGCATCAAAGAGAGTGCCTGCTTCTCCTTTTCCAAGTACGGGTGAAAATGTGTGTACGTTCCAAGATGACACCAGCAGATTAACTGGAGAATCACGCTTCTGTTTCTAATCAACTGGCAGTTGTCTCTGTGGCCTGGACACACACTGCGTAGAAGAGACAGGCCTGCTGGGCGGCACGCACATCCTAACCCAGCACAGGGCGGAGCCTTGTAGGCAGCTGGGGCATCTCAACTAAGGTTTTCTAGAGAGCTCATGTGAGCACCTTTCTCCCACACTGTTGTTGTGTTTTATTTTCTCCACACCGTTTTGAAAAGCTTCATTCTCAGAAAAGGATGTCATTCAAACTTGTCAGCAGCCACTCTTGCTTGGAAACAACAAGGAGAAATGGTAGGGAGGATGGAATTCCCTGGGTTGAGCATGGCCTCAGGGGCAAGCCCTGGGCTCCAAAGCAAGGAGATGGGCTGGGGAGCTGGTTCCGGAACCCTCGATGTGGCCCTGGGAGGCCCGGGAGCTCTGTTCCTGGTACTTTGCTCCCCACCCCTTCTCTGAGGGTTCCCATGAGCCCGGATGTGGGGAAAATGCAAGCATCCAATTACTTTCAGAAAGCTTTGTGCTCACAGTCTGGGGGTGTACTGCAGCTGGGGAAGGATCAGGCTGGGCAGAAGGTGGCCCTAGACATGCCAGGCATACTTTTGGGGGAGGAATAGTCACCTGGGGTCGCAAACAGGCACTGCTGTGAAAACAGGAGAGCCAGGGAGTTTCCTGTCCCTTTACATGACGTTCGCTGGGGCTCAGTGTTGCTGACTTCAGAATTCTTCTTCAACAGAACGGGAGCCACAGACTCTTAGAAGTGGAAGAAGGTACCTTTGTGGTCACTTAGATTGTGACCTAGGAACTGACAAGTGTTTCGGACCTAGACAAGACTTCCTTCTAAACCTGTATACCCACATGCCTGCGTGCACATGTGCACACACATGAAGCTAAGGGAACACACCTTTGACTCTTGTCTCATGTTCTCCCTTATGTTCTCATCTCCCCCCTTGCACTAATGAGGATGCTCCCAGCTGCTACCCGGAAGGTTGGTGGTTTGAAGCCATCCAGAGGCTCTGTGGAAGAAAGACTTAGGGGTCTGCTTCCGTAACAATTACTGGCAGAAGTCACAGCTCAGTGGTTGAACTCTGCTACATGGGGTTGCCGGGGGTTGGAAGTGATGCAACGTCCCTTAACAACCACAACAAAGTAGATGACATGGATGCAAATCACATCCGTTTGGGGACTCTCTTATTCTCTGCTATTGTGTGCTTTGTTCTACGGTCACAGTCTTGGCACTGTTTGTTCCCTACCCCCTCAACTCCTTGCTCCAGATAGGCTTGGTATCCCTGTGGGCATCTGCCACAGTGTTCCGCAGTCTCCTGGGCTGCTCTACAATTGCTATGGGCACCCAGAATCTTTCCAACTGCTCGCCTTAGGAGTTGAGAAGAACAGCCGGGTCTCAGTGGTGATTCTGCAGTGGCTACCCTAACCTGGAAGGTGCCTGCCGCTCCCCAGTGGGGCGCAGTGCCCTTACTCACCATCAGCCTGGGAGCTGGCTAAGGGCGACCTGAGGTCCCCATGCTCAGTACTGTCACTGTATGAAGCTGAAGACAGAACTTCAGAACCATTCAAATCAGGTCAATGGACTCGGTCAAGGTTCTTCTCTGCAACTGAGTCCAAACCAGGCTGAGTGGGTTCCCAGCCTGCCGAGTGCAGTCTCCTGCTCTTTGGCAATCAGTTAGCAGCCTGTTGGTCCCTTGCCGTGTACAACAAGAGGAAGAGGCTTGGGGAACATCTTGCAAGATAGAAAACAACTGTTTTCTCCTTGGAAAGAGCTCTCTCCTGCCTGTTGCGGTCTGTTTGGAGGCTAAGGGAAGGGAGGGGCTGTGAGTCCTGGTGGTGCATTGGCTAAGTGGGTGGCTGCTAACAGAAAGGGTGGTAGCTCAAACCTACTAGCTGCCACATGGGGGGAAAATGGAACATTCTGCTTCCGTGAAGAGTTCCGTCTTGGAAATGCTGTGGGGCAGTTCTAATCGGTCCTTTAAGGTTGCCGTGAGTCAGAAATAACTCAACAGACTTGTTTTATTCTAGTCCCGGTGGCCCTGATTAACTGGGGAGAACAAGTGCAGAAGAACAGTATTTCTGGATATAATTGATCTGCTGAGACCACGGGTCCAGAATGGTGATGTTGCTAAGGTGACACGCGACTGGAATACTGATTCCACTTCCTGCCAGCTCTCGGCTGAATTTATGTGCTCCTCTGCCCAGGCAATTTTACATGACAGAAACAAGCAGGTCTCACATGCACGCGTGTGGGGAGTCTCAGCGACACTGGAGTTGAATACATTTATTTTTATCACTTTCCAAGATTTGACTTCTTGAGAACTTTAAAGATACACAGTAAAAAAGTATAAAGCACTAGAAAGCAAAAAGAACTACTGGTGGTAATAGTGGCTTATACGTGTTGGGTTGCTAAGCACAAGGTCAGCAGTTTGAATCCGCCAGCCCCTCTGAGGGAGTGAGAGGAGGCTTTCTGCTGCTGTAAAGATTCCCAGCCTTGGAACCCACGGGGAGTCAACTCAATGGCAGTGCCTTTTTTCTGTGTTTTGGCTTAAGAAATAAGAAGGCATTTGCTTGGGCAGTTCAAATGCCAGTAAATCTTAGAATATGGAACAAGCTCAAAATTCTCAAGTCTTTATCTCTCGGTTGACCTCCTGTCTGAGCTCCAGGCTCATACTGCCCTCAAACATCTCCATGGAGATAATTCGGCATGTCCAAAGATGAACTCTTCTCTTCCACTCAACCCTGCTTCTGCTCCCAGCATCCTTCTCCTCCCCATCAGCCTTCTGAGCCCTTAAGCTGGAAATGTGGGAACAATCTTAGTTCTTCTCTGACTCACGGTACCCCACCAGTGCTCTGCTCAAGACCCGTATCTTTTTTTCTTTTAAATCATTTTATTAGGGGCTCATACAACTCTAATCACAATCCATACACACATCAATTGTGAGAGCGCATTTGTACATTCATTGCCCTCATCATTCTCAAAACATTT